TTTGTACACCTTTTTTACCCTCCACAGCATAGAGGAATAATACAATATGTTTCCTGCTCATAAGTAATTATTGAATGATTGAGACAGAGAAGCAAAATTTCCTCTGTGAGTGGAAACATTTAATAGTTCAATAAAAGCAGTAAGCTTGGAATATTGGCTGTAACTAGCAAACTTAAATATTGTAGAATCAGGGGTAGAATTACTTGCGACCCTTTTAAGATAATGATGGTGACTTGAATAGAGTCTAGCTCCTGCTCTCGCTCTCTGGTGCTTGAATCTAACTCATGGTGGGTTTAAATCTGAATTCATTTGGTGACCAATTTTCCAAAGCTGGTGTGCCAAGATGAACCCACTTGAAAACTGTGGGCTCTTGGACTTGGCTGCAAGACCCGTCCAGCTGAGGTAGGCTGGCCGAGCATCTGCTGCCTTCTTTGTGCTTAATGCTGGGTCCATCTGTTTTGTGTCAAAGCTGGTGCCAACAAATTACTAATCTATTAGAGAAACATGGAAATAAGATTGCACTTCCCATCCCTGGCTTTTCTTCTCATGTTTTGCTTGGCTTACATGTTTGGTTTCTGTTTATTTGGGGGAGAAAGATATGTTATCGAGTAGGCAAAGAATTAGGGGTGGGGGGGGGCGTGAGTCATTTTTCACTCCTTGCACACATTTTTTAAAGATTATGGGGAAAAGATTATATTAATGGTTATTGATAATATTGTGATTGTTGATGATGATGGTGACAGTAGATGTCATTTATCAGGTAACTGCGCTTGGTACTGTACTAGTCACTTTCTGCCTATCCCCATTGTCATTACTTTACAGATGGCAAAACTGATGTTCAGAAAGGGCCTTGCCACTAGCAAGTGTCAGAACCAGTATCCAAACTCACATTCGAGAGCCCATGCTTTCTTCATTGCTGCCTCTTAAGCCATTTATAGCCTTTAGAAACCATTTTTATCTGGGCATGTGAGTTTAATGAGGAAAGTCTTTAAAGTTTCAAGGAGAGAAAAAGGGGACTTTGTATTTCTTCCACCAAATAGAGGCCTCTGTGATTAGAACATATTCCCTTGATTTGTGCATTTGCGGGCCAATTCATGGGTCACCCCGACTGATGGAGGAGAAGGAGGTCGGGAGCCCCGCACTCAGTGGGCCTTCCTGCCTTTGCGTGCACGCGTGTGTGTTTGGGAGTGGGAGGCTGTGCTCTAATGCTGCTCCACCCCATCACAGAGTGCTGAAGACGAAGACCAGCTGCTGAATTGAGCCAAGCCTATTGAAACGCAGCCTTTCTCTTTAGTGCATGACACAAATGAGAGAGGTTGATGCACAGTAACTGGACACCTCGGCGTTTCTTCCCTTTGTGTTTGTTAAAGTACAACCCCTGACTGCCAGTTAAGCCTAAATTGCAAGCACCCAGAGTGACAGCATTTCTCAGTTCCAACTGTAAGCAGAGTTCTACTCCAACTCTGAGAAAAGTTCAACAAAATCAGGAACCTTCTTCTCTAGGGAACAGCATTGTGGGCATAGTCTGCAATAACCATGGTTAAGCGCTTGTTTTCTGAAACAAGATTAAAGTGACGTTTCATTTCCCTCGAAAGCAATGAGTACATATGCTTCCGCTGCATATAGTTTCTTACCAAATGAGTCACCAAATGAGTGTTGGGGGAGGGTGGAAACTAGCTGCAGAGTAATAGCATGAATATGTGGATTCTTTTTATTTGCATTCAAACTGTGAATGACTTTATTTATTTTTAATAAAAGCAAGAGCCAAAAAGGAGCACTAGATTTATTTCACTGATGTCATCAGATCATCTGGGCGCGAGGGCATGTGAGGTCAGGCGGGGGAGGAGTCTTCCCTCTGCTCACAGGGAGAAGCGTTCTAACGTCTGGTGCCTGGAGGACGCGGGGGAAGAGGCAGGACAGAGCAGCCTGCCCGCTGCTCCGTGTCCCTCCCAACCCGGGAAGCATAAGGTGCCCTTTCTGCCAAGATGGTGCGATGGAAGACAGCCGGGGATCTTCCGGTGGTCCCGTGGGAAGGGAGATTCAGAAGCAACCTAACTTCTGTAAAGTGTTAAAATTGGTAAACAGTGAGCGTTTTGTACCTTTTACTTGAAACAATGTAAGTTTGATTATTTCTGCAAAGTAGAGTATCTCCACGAAAAAGCAGTTTAAGTTTGAGGAGCAGGCTGCAAAAGACAGACACACGCAGCCAGTGGCACCTGAGGCAGCTTATGTCAAATCTCTGTGTTCCGTCCTCTGTTCCCCTTTGTTTGCCCTTCGCTTCCCAGCTCCTTCCACTGCTCCTTCCACTGCCAGCGCCTCGCTGGTGTTCCTCCGCCCCCTTTCCTCACCTTCCACAGGGCATTCAGGGTCAAAGAAGCTGCTGGCTTTACCAAGTCACTTTCTGTGTTATTAGCTTGTCCCGTGATTGGTTAGCAGATTATGCACATTGGCCCGCCCCCTGTGTTTGCAAATAAAGCTTTATTGGAACACGGGCAGTCCCTTTATGTATGTAGCGCCCCTGGCCATGTTGAGACGCAGTGGCCGTTTAGCTGTGACAGAGACTGTCTGGCCCTTTACAGAAAGTGTGCTGGCCCGTGGCCCCTAGGACAGTGACCTTCATACCATCTGCAATGAATAGTATGCTTCACAGACAGCCAAGTGAGAAAGCGCCCGTGATGCACCTAACAAAGCAAGTTCCCAGTCGGTGTTGAACAGTGTGGAATTCTTGCAGATTCACAGGTGATGCGGCCTTATGTGTGGCCTGAAGAAAGCCTGGCTTTTTTATTCTGATGATATGGTTATACAAGTGTGATTCCCCCGTAAGCATTGAGAAGACCCCACAGTCGTTGTGTACTTGGACCCTGAACTGTGCCCACAGACTGACGGATGCAAACCGTGGCTCCTCCACTTATCAGCCATGTGACCTGGGGACAAGCTATTCAGCCTCCTGTGCCTCAGGTTCCTCATCTCTAAAGTGAGGATGCTCATATTAGGGACCTCCTAGGCCTGATGTCAGGACTAAATGAGTTACTACAAAGGGCTTGGAACTGAGCTTAGCACATAGCGCGTAGCAAGTATCTGCTTTTAGTGTTGTTACTAATCAAATCCAAGTCTGCTGAAAAACCTGGAGAAGCTCCTCATCTCCAGAGCGAGCCCCAAGCTTGGATGCCTGGTACACAAGGCCCTGCTGAGGCGGCCTCTGCCCTCTGTGCCCACTGCACAGCCGCACAAAGTGCATCAGAGACTTTGTCTTGAGTCTGTCTGCTCGCTGGCCCTCGGCTCTTGTCGGTGGCGCCTCCCATAGGTGCTCTCCCCCCTCTGCTTTACTCACCGTCCACAATAAGACCCCTACCATTTTTTACACCCATGTTTGAATACTTTGCATATGTTATGCATATATCATTTAACCCCAACAACTCTATAAGTAGACAGTATTAGAGAGGATTGTCTTTGTTTTACAGAGAAGAGAATGAAACAAAGGTTAGAACAATTTACCTGAGGTCATACAGTCAGTCAATGTGGACCCTTCACTCAGCTCCAGCCCCCCAGGTCCCCAAGCCTGCCCCACATGGACTCCTGAGGTTGCAGCCCAATGATGGCTTTATTCAAGGAAACCACTAATGCCCCTACATGGGAGACCCCCTGCACCCCCCACCCCGAGCAGACTTACTCTTAGTTCTCTTGCTTTTTGTGGTGTATCATCTTTTATTTTGCTGTAGTATTTTTTCCTGCCTTACCCCTGCTACTCCATACACACACGCACACACACACACAGATTGTGAGCTTCTTGGGTGCAGGAATCGGATGGTATTTAACTCTATATGCCCTGTGCCTAGCACTGTTGTTACATGGATGAGGAGATTCTTCCAAAAAGTAGTGAGGACGGATTGAGAAACACTCATCCATATTCTACAAACACTTGACTTTCTACATTTATTTTATTTCAACATTTATTGGAAGGCAGCATATTTTATTGGTTAATTACGTGGGTTCCAGAGTCAGTTTGCTTGAGCTTGAATCGTAACCTACTAGCTGTTGGTTTTCTTCATTTGTAAATGGAACCAGGGTCCTATCTACATTTCATATGGTTATTGGAGAAATGAAGGAAACGGTTGATGCAAAGCATTTAACCCAGTGTCTCGTTCACAGTAGGTGCAGCAGTTATTATTGGAATGGCATTATGTATGCCTTTAAATTGCTTGAATTTACTTTATGTACACTCAATCAAAATAAAAGGTGTGGAATGAGAAAGAAAAGCTATTGAACAGTTTGGGCCGTCACAGCTGCCATTCTACTCCATGTGTGTGTCCCAGTGTAAGCGGGGATGGAGGTGTGATGTGGCTCCCCATCTCACTCTCAGGCCAGGCCTGCTTCACACGTGCCACCGTCTCACTGCGTTCAGTGTCATGCTAATGCTTGAACTGTATTTCATAAGACACGGACCAAACACAAACCAGCCACTTGATCTGGTGCTCAAACAAAAAACAAACGTGTTCCCAACACCAGGGGGAAAGTGACGGTGCTGGACTAATGTGGAGTTCCCGCACGGCGCCTCCTGTGGGGTTGGGAAGGCCGATCCCAACCCTGTGTGCATGGGGTCTTACACGCTGTCTTTCTGAAACCTTCGTCGTGACTGTTGAGTGTGGTGTTACATCCTCAGAGCGGTGCTCGCTAAGGACTAGGGACTGACTAATTATTTGGGGTAAGTGTAAGGATGAGGTGTTGGGTGTCTTGAAGCAGCACTCAGTGCTACCTAGCACCCTGGCATGTTCCGCCATCACGTCCGTCCCCAGCCTGGATTTCCGCTGCTCTTGCCTTCGCAGTGTGCAGAGAGCATACTGGAGACTGCCAGCCCCACCAGCACCACCAAGGGAAGGTTTAAGAAGCATAATGACTAATACTGTGTTGATCATTGGTGGACAAAACATATCTCCAGTGAATGTTTTCACAGGTCCAGACATTAAGTACAAGGCTTTAATTTGTGTTTGCTTTTTATTTAGGTAACTACTCCAGACCCCCAACGTATAGTGGGGTGCCCAGTGCAAGCTACAGTGGCCCGGGGCCTGGCATGGGCATCAATGCCAACAACCAGATGCATGGACAAGGGCCAAGCCAGCCATGTGGTGCTGTGCCCCTGGGACGAATGCCATCAGCTGGGATGCAGAACAGACCATTTCCTGGAAATATGAGCAGCATGACCCCCAGCTCTCCTGGCATGTCTCAGCAAGGCGGGCCAGGAATGGGGCCACCGATGCCAACCGTGAACCGTAAGGCACAGGAGGCAGCTGCCGCAGTGATGCAGGCCGCTGCAAACTCGGCACAAAGCAGGTATGCCGTCGGGGCGGGCGGTCTGTGTGTGGGCGTGTGAGCAAAGGCTGAACACAGGGCTGCATCGTCCCGAGTCACGTGGGCTGCACAGCAGTAGAGGGTCATAAAGCTCAGCAAAGTAAATCACAGACCATGTTCTCTGAGACACCGAGGAAGGAATCTGAGTGACGGGCCAGTCAGTTGTGGGACGTTATTCGAAGTGGCTGTGAGTTGTCACTGCAACCAGCAGCCTAGAGCCAGTGGCATAGGGAGTGTCCGTGTGGTTCCATTTAAAACAGCAAGGTTTGGGCAGGAAATTCAATAGCCTAAAAACTAGTTACAATCTAAAACACAAAAAAAGAACCTATCCTTTTATTACCCCACCATAAAAATCTTTATAAAACAGAAACTTTGTATATGCACATACGTGTATTGTGTGTGTTTGTCTAAATGTATATGTGTGAGATGTATATTCTTCATATTCTTATGTTTCATTTTTCTGGGCATACCTCTCTCTCTGTCCAAACCAAAATGTGGTTAATAAAGCAAAGATAATATTTCAGAAAGTTTAAGTTGATAGAGGAAGGCTTTATCCTCAATCACTTGTTTTTAATCCTGATTTTTTAAATTAATTCTTGAAGTAAATACTTGACCTGCATAAAAATAACATACTGAATTAAAAATTTATGAGACCAAAGTGAACGTGTTTTCAAAAAAATACATGTTAATATGTTTTATGTTTAACATACGTTAAAATACGTTTTAAAACAAAGCACAGTGAAAGATATGTATAGCGATATGGTATCTTGAAAAGAGAGAAGATTCTGATTTTTTCAAAGGGAAATAAAAGCCGTGTGTGTGTGTGTGTGTGTGTGTGTGTGTGTGTGTGTGTGTGTGTGTGTGTGTTTAAATGTGTCCCTTTTGTTACTTTTCCTCTAAAGCTGCTATTTTGGGAATTTTAGGGACCCCTTCAGTCTTCTCCAAATAGTAATAAATTTCCCTTGAGTAATCAAAAATGAAAATCAGTCATTCTTTCTCTCTCCCTCTCTCCCTTTCTCTCTCCATCTCTCTCTCCCCCGTCTCCCCCTCTCTCCTCTCTCTCTCCCTCTCTCTCTCTCT